TTTGAGTTTGAGAAGTAGACGCAACCAGACGACGACAATTGGATATGCGTCCCTAATCGAATGTGGTAAACAGGCGAGAGAGTTACAATACGACGACGTATGACAGTAAAATGTTGACTATGTTCCTGTCTATGTGATGCTTCATGTTGGAGTCATAACGAACTATAAAGTTCTTGCAAACGAAGAGAAGCTCCAGAAAATGAACAGAGGCGAGTAAGATGGATTGATGGGTGATCATAGAATCAAAGGTATGTGATTAACAATGATAAATAAATGGACTTCGCGAGTCAGACACAAGAGAGTCATGTTTTGGCTCAGTAAGGAACAAGCACACGAACAGAAGGTGGACCAGAGCTCATGTCTTCCAGCAACAGTTCCAATAGCGCCTTGGCTATAGGCGCTTCTTTTCCTGAGATCAGACAAACAAGAAACATCAAAAACGGTAGTATAATGTAGGCGATGTAAGAGCGAAGCTTCTAAATGTTTATGTGATCGAAATTACCATCACCAATTAGTTCTTCATCCCATTGAATCACAGGTTGGATAAGAACTCCACTCCCAAGAAGCATCATCTCATCCGCTTTCTTTCCATCTTCAACTGTCACATCCATAACTTTCACACTTTTAAGCATCCCCTTGCTAACAAGCTTTTCAGCGAGTGTAATAGTTCTCTTTGCCGTACATCCGCTCAAAATGTTATCAAACCGCGGCATTACAAGCTCCTTACCACCATTAACAACAAACGCCACATTCATGTTCGGACCTTCTGCGATAAACCCATTGTCATCCACCCAAATACCGGCAAAAGCTCCCTTGGCCTCAGCCTCCAATTGTGAGAGCGCGTTTGGGAGGTAGTTAACACTTTTCACCGTGGCAAACTCTGGAGGCTTTATGGGGATGGACGAGGTCACTACCTTGACACCTGTTGACTCAATGGTCGGGATCTTTTTAAAAACAATAGCGTAGAGTGCTGGTCCAAGACACTGAGATGGAGATAGGAGGAAATCCCCTGGGCCTGCAGAGAGCCAGTATCTTAGAGATCCATTTCTACACCCGGAAACGCTCACGGTTTGGATGAGAATCCTTCTGATTTTTTCCCGGTCGAATGGAAGTGGAATCTTAGCCATTGACGCAGAACGTAGGATACGGTCAAGGTGCTGATCCAATTCGTAAAGGTATCTGCTTGGTCATAAAGCAAGGGAAAACAAGCAAAACTCAGATGATTGAGTAATAAGACTAACTAAAGGCTGGAATCGGAAAAGTGAGCTATGTATGATTCAGAGTTACTGTCTTACTAACCCATTAACGATCATAGCAGTGTCGAAGACTCCATGACCACGGTGTACCATATGATCATCCAATGGAAGAACCATTGCTGCTGGATCTGTTGTTATTCCACCAACAACACTCGAGTACATGGCCAAGAAAGCTTTTCCTTCTCTAGCTAGTCTTAGCCTCCCAACAACCTTGGACATCAAATATAGTTCAATGAGACGGAATCAATCAAACGCCTCTAAAGATAAACAAAGACACATGTCTAAATTATTAAGGCCTGCATATATAATTTCCTTGGTAATACACAGAAACAGAGAAACAATGTGGTGTCATGAACATCTCTAGCTAAGAAATTGGGAACAGTTTCGATGGTTTGGGCAAAAGCTGTGGGATTGACATGTCACAGACATGGAAGAGCAAAAAAACAGAAACATAATGTGAAACATAGAAGAAACCAAAACAACTACCTCATAGCTAGATAGAACAGGAACATTCGACGAGTGAGAGCTCGAATCTGTGCAGAGAAGAATTCAGATCACTCAAACCCCTCACAACAAGTAATTCGAATTTGGTATCAATTCCGTGAACACTTATTAAGGAAATTAACAATCAACGATTTTCAGGATAATCTACAGTGACTAACATCACAAACGCTTCAACTAATGCGTTACCAATCACAATTCAGACAACAGAACAAAATAGACCACAAGAGTTAACACCATGGAGGAGAGACAATATATTGCAAGTTATGAGGACAAGCCAATTTCGAACCAGAACACATGAAAATCCTTCCTCCTCGTGTCAACCGCCGCGGAAATCGAAAGCCATGTTCTTCTTGAGAGAAAAAACGCAGATTCCATGTTTTGACTGCCAACTCCGGCGTCAAACCAATCGGCTTCGGAAAACAAACGACGTGAGTTATCATCGGATAGATGATATTGCAATTCCCTTTGCTTATAAATTATTCTCAGAAATTCTCTGGGGGTTGAACCGGTTCAGATTTTCTGGATTTTCGATTTCGAAATAATAGTATGCAAAACATAACCGACTCAACTATAGACGACAGTAAGGTTTCAAATTCGGGAGTACATACAAAAATTCTGACTTTAGATCGGTTCTTTCCGAGTTCATTGATTCATTCAAACCACATTAAAGTATGGTTCAATTTTCCAGATCGGTTATACCGGTTTGGTTCGAATCTATTTCTCCAGATTAGACATCCCTTAGCTTTAATCGTATGGGAATCATTGTTTATTTTGAACTGGAATACGATACGCGTTAAATACTATAAAAAGTATTGAAATAAATATTTAAATTTTAATTAATGATCTATTAAATTTTAAAATATTACTTAACGTGGATTCTAAAACCAGTAAAAATCAATTTATATTATCTCTTATGTTCAAATACATATCATACAAATCAAAAAATATATAGTATCGAAATTTAACCAAAAAATATATTTTAACCCATTATGAATATTTATGATTATGTGGTAGAAAACAAAACCAACTAAAAAACTATATAGTTAAATAAGAAATGAATAATTTTTATGTTAGTAAACTCATAAAAACTTTTAATAATGTTGTGAACCATCACATAATTACATGATTGATAATTGTATTTTATCAATGTCATCGTTTTATTTCTCATAGAGATACTCGCCAAATTTTATACAGTATTAACTTAATAGTAAATATAATAGTATTTTTTAACTTATATAATTTTTCAATATATACACTTGAAGAGTATCACTCGCATCATACGTCAAAATTTCTATTTTTCTTTGTGATATTTTAGAACTCTATATTGATGAAATAAGTGTTCTTATAGA